AGACAAGGGCGGTGCTAGTGCTTTGCCGCTAGCTTCCGGCATGTGAAAGAGACCAAACAAAGTCTCGATCCGACAGCGACTGCACCCCTGCTCTGTACGGAGTGCTGCGTACTCTTTTCGCTTTCTCTCCGGTGTGGTTCAGACCCCCCTCCGTACTGCCACACCCCAGAGAGCCACCAACCTCTAGGTTTGAAGGCTCGCTCCCGGCTCCCCTTCGTCTCATCCCAATTCTCTTGAGCATACCTCTCCCGTCTGCCATGTCTCTGAAGTTTTGACTTTAGGTGTGCACCAAATCTTCCTACGCAATACCTGACATTCCGTTGCCGCATCATACAAAACCGCCAGGTTTCCATCCACACGACTTTTCCTGGTTTCCCCCCCGTTTATGTTTCCAAGTGTTGAAGGAGCGGGAATCGTCGACAGTGGGCTGGGTATTACAACGTTATCGAACGATCGGACCGACGACCGAACGACAGTGACCGGATCGTACGACTCAGTCACCGGGACTTACTGGTCACACCCGGAGCCACCCTCCTGCTTCACCGAGAGATAAACCACGCACCGGCCAAATTTGAGGAAGCTGAGGAGATGTTGTGAACGAGAGGCTCATCGAGATATCAATCATCACGACCCCAAATCAAACGGCTTTTACGTCTACCAATCGCAGCCATGGCTCTCATCAACCCCGTATACGCCATCATTGTCCCCTTCCTCTTTCTCTTCACCATCCCGCTAGCGATATTTGCCGGGGTTACGACAACACTCGCCTTCACTGTGCTCATATTCCGAGTCATTCTCGTCTACTTTGATCTCGCGATATCTCTGCTCCCGTCGTACATTACCGGTCGTCCTAGGTATCTTTCTTATGCCTCCAAGGCACCAGGGTCCGGTAGTCCGTCACCGTCGCTAACGCCCACACGGCGTTCCGCCTCGCGTCGCGCAAGACGACCGTCCTCTGCCTCCGCCGTCTCCGTCGGCACAATAACACCCATCTCGGAATCAGGAGGCATCGGCTTATTCCCATCTGTCGGTATCGATCGGGATTATGAGGGTCTAGGTGGCTGGCGTCTAGGAAACGGAAACGATGATGAGTTGTGGATGACCATCAATTCACGTCTCGAGTTGCCCGATCGCCAGTATCAACGACATCACCACAGAAGCCCCAGCGGTGGACCTACCACTCCAGGTGGCGGCGATGGCTACCTCATGATGAAGGGAGGTCGCAACCGGAGCCCAGAAAGCAACCGAGGCGGGTATACTGCTATTGTGTCGCCCAACAGCTCAAGAGCACGGACACCGACCAACACGCACATTGCCTTTACAGCACTTGATGGTGTCGATGGCGACTACTTTCCATCATTATCCACCAAGTCGGTAAGGAAGGTTGCCGTGGCGTGAGAGAAACGATTGCTACTGGTGTGCCGGTGGATGACGAAAAGTGATCATTAATGGATGCGGAAAGAGAAAATCATGGTTCTTATCTCGACTCCCTCGCCACGAAGTTGACGAGAAAAGTATGCCCTCGAGAGTGCGTGGTGTAAGAGAGTTGTGTGGATCATTTTCCTTTGCCTACAGCCGGGATACAGGGCATGAATCAAGTCCCTGGGTCGGGCAATGGTAGGAAGGTCAGGTGGAATCGGGATATCCTCTATGAAGGACAGTCTCAGGCAAGGAATGGGAATATTGGCCCGGCGAGGCTATCTACGGACAGGATTAAGGCCAGGAACTCGGAGTCTGTAGGCGTTTGGCTGTATCACTCTCAACAACAGTCCAGACGGACGATCATTGAATCAACAATGAAGAAACCATCAATTTGAATGCGGCCATCCGCTGTTGAAGAAACTGGATTTCATGTTCATATTTCATGTGAGTGACGGGCTGTGTTTTCCATCATTCATGGAGACAGGGGAATTATTCAGCTTTTGTAGAATCGTGAAGAAAAGTGTCTATTATTCAAGACGTGGTATCTGATCATAAGTCCAAACGCCGTCATCAAACCCAAAACAGGACCCAACCTCCCCTTTAAACCCCTCATTTACAAAGTCTGCCAAAAGTAATTGGCATAAAAGAACTTTGAAAACTTCTTGTCCATATTGACAACATGCACATCCCCCTTGCGATCATTCCTCACGACCGCGCGCGTGAACTCGCCCGTGCCGCTACCGTCCTTCCCGTCGCGCTCAATCTCGATACCCAGGCTGCGGTACACTTTGAGCCGCAGCAGCACCTCGTCGTCGACGGGGTCGCGGCGGCGCGCCTGGTCGTCGGCGGAGCCGTCGAGGCCTTGGATCTCGAGCTCCTGCAGGCGGGCGTTGAGGTCTGCGGCCTGTTGGGCGAGGCGCTCTGCTTCCATTTCCGCGTCGGATGCCGCCTTTGCGGTGCGGAATTTCGTGGTGTCGAGGCGGGCTATCTCGGAGGCGTGGGCGGTGGAGGAGTGGGCTGAGGTCAGTTCTGCGTGTTGGGATGTCATTGTGTTTAGTTGGCGGGAGAGCTCTGCGGGAATGTTAGTTTGGTTCGATATTTCCATTGTTGCGATCTTGTTTGGAGGTGTTTGTGGTCTTTGGAGCAAGGGGTGGGTCGTGATTGTTGGGCGACAGGAGGCTGGCTTGTATTCTGGAGGAGACGGAAGATGGTGACCAGGACGTACTCTTGAGGGCATTCTCTGCCTCGCGGAGACGCAGCTCGCGGGCCTGTTGGAGGGTGGAGAGGGATTCATTGATGCGGGCGATGGCTTGCTTGTCTGGTTGGATGTTGAAGTTGTCGATCGTGTGCGAGATGAGCTGTTGGCGCGAAGGACATGTCTCGTGTTAGCGATTCGCTTCTCCGAGGAGAAAGTAGATGCCGTCAACGGTGCGGGATGACGGGGGAATGGAGGGGGCAACCTTACCGTCGCGGGCTCCTCTGCTAAAAGCATCTTGACTGATTATTTTGTGTTGTCTCCGTGGAAGATTGTGTAAGCGGCTAGACGGAGGTGCGTATGCGTGGGGACGCAGAGTCGTGATGTCGCGTTGTTTTCGTGGGTGGTGTTTGGTGTCATTAATTGATTGACTTGGGTCGATGGATGGATGCGACTAGAAATCGTGCAGGTGGGATAAGGCACGGCAGAACAAACCAGCCTAAACCCATTACAGAAATCCCCCAAACAAAAAACTGTCGCTGTCCGTCTGCCACCAGCTTACCTTATCGCGCGGCATCACCCGGACGACAATCAGTGATGACTAAGTTTCTCACAGAGAGTGACCCCTGTCACAGACTCAACAGCCCCACCTCAGCTCGTCTCCAGCAATCGTCATCCGCCACACATGACGCCGCCGTCGCCGCCGCCGCCCCAGAGTGGCCCGCCCGGAAGAGTCCCCACGCATCTTCAAATGTCAGAGCTTCAGCCACTCTTCCCCGATCCCGTTCTTCCCAGCTGTATGTAGCCTGCCACCTTTTTCTCGATTTCTGCATTCAGCATCTTTCAACGCTTTGGCATCTTCAGCCCTGTCATACCTTGCAATCGTGACAGCTGCTTTCGAACCTTGACACGATCGAACAATCCATCCCACGACAACACTACGAAGTTGAGGACACTCATACGATCCATCAAAACAAAAGAAAATACCTTTACGCACGACGTTCCCATAGCCACGAGTCAACCGCATCATCGCAGCCATGGTTGATCTACCTTGTAAGTCGCCCTCCCCACCCCTCCTCTTCTATGCTGTGAACATGATGTCGCCGGGAAGTAATCCATGACTGATCATTTGCGCAGACGCCCTCGACGCGGAAACGTATGTCTTCTCATCTTCAAGGCCACCTCCCATCCCCGCGACACCCGCCCATGCGATATCATTGTGAACTAACAAGCCCTCCTCGCATCGCAGGCCCCTCAAGGCATCCGAGCTCCAGGTCCTCCGCGCCCAGTACGAAAAGGAAGGCGACATGGTCGGCGTCCAAACCAAGTTCAACTACGCATGGGTACGATAGCCTTCCCTTCTCTCTCTTCCTTCCCATGTAGCCGATGTCATACAGCCCCCCTCCCCCCAAATTCCCATACCCCATATTCATCTCCTTCTACCTTCCAGCAATTGCTGACTCCTTCGCAAAAACAGGGCCTCGTAAAATCAGACTCCCGCAACGACCAACAACTAGGCGTCCGCCTCCTCTCCGAAATCTTCCGCGTCTCCCCCGAGCGCCGCCGCGAGTGCCTCTTCTACCTCGCCCTCGGCAACTACAAGCTCGGAAACTACGGCGAGGCCCGCCGCTACAACGATCTCCTCCTCGAGAAGGAGCCCGCCAACCTCCAGGCCTCCAACCTGCGCCAGCTCGTCGACGACAAGGTCGCCAAGGAAGGGCTCATGGGCGTCGCGATCATCAGTGGTGTTGCGGTCGCGGCCGGTGTGGTGGGTGCGTTTCTGGTGAGGAATGTTAAGAGGAGATAGGTGTGACAACCCGTGAGAGACAGAGAGAGAGAGACAGAGAGAGTGTGTGTGTGGGATGGCCTATGAGGTGTCGGTGTGAGGGGCGGGCACCTGAGATGAAGACGATGATGAAAAGGAGCGATTGCATTCGAAGGGGGGGGCGAGGGGGATGTAAAGGACGACACATGTGCGGGTATGGCTACGGCTGCATCGCGCACCGCTTGTGTCGAATCCTTTACCATCTCGTGCTTCTCTCTCTCAAGTATCTGGTAATGTGTATTTGTATGGAAGTAACGACGACGGCTATTTGTTTGACACCGGTGTACGGGGCGTATACACATCTCTATTCTACCTCACGAGCAATATACTTGCAACAGAAACGCACGCAATTCCTTCTGCATTGGAGTGACTATTGGGGCGACCTTAATGAGATTGGGGTGAGACTGGGTTTTACGATACATCCTCTGGTGTGGTCACTTGAATCTACTTGGATCTCTTGACTTCGCTACCAGCCACCCATTCCAGAACACATGCATTTCACATTGGGACGGATGCTTCCTGTTATCATGCCGACTGCAGTACGAGATTTTATCCTGCCTAACCCTCGCCACCAAGAGGAGGATGCCTGTCTGTTTTCCTGTGACAAGGTCCCAAGTATGTACAGAAGACGCCCTGCGGGTCCTAAAAGTCTGACCCACGGCGGCGCGGTCGAGCTCAAGAAAAGAAATAATGGTCTCAGTGACCAATGCTTAACGCCGTCGACCCTTGTCGTAATTCGTGATATGCCTACCGGCCGCGTTGGAGCCGCGTGGCTCGCTCAAATCTTTCATTGGCAAACCACCCAAATCCATTCCGGTCCATTAATCAATGCTACAAGCTCACTGTCTCCGTCTCTCACGCGGGTTGCTGTCTCCCGAACCCGATCCTCGAGAAAACTGGTTTCTCAGCCAATTAAGCGGGCCGTGATTGGATCCGGCATCCTGATTACTGTCCTGGTTGCTGTCTTGACCTCTGTCCCAATTTCCAGACGAGGGACTCCGCTGTCTAGCTCGAAACACATCGGACTGGTGTCGGCGGAGGCTCGGGGGCGAATGAGAGTCTCGTCTAGCGGATCGGAAGCTGGGCATTCGACTCGTTTCCTGGGGACGTTGCGGATCACTGCGGCCGGTGCTGGAAGCCCCGTAGCGTCCATAGGCTTCATCGACAAATGACGACTGGGGTCTCGTGGAGTCGGCAGGAACCGGGGGGGTCGTGTCCATGTAGCTCGATCGAGGGGGAATCCCTCTCATCGAGTTTGCCCAGTGTCCCGGATCATTACCAGGCCAGAATGAGTCTTGGTGGCTCTCTGAAGAGCCAGACGCTGCTGCTCCAGGGTGGGTTTGCGAAGGGTTGTTATTGTTGTTTCCGCCGTTGTTTGAACCGCTCGCATTGGAATTGTTGTTATTGTTGTTGTCATTGATGCTGCTGCTGCCGCTGGGCTCTTCAATCGGCGTACGGCATATGGGGCAAGTATTGTGCTCCTTCAACCACATGACGACGCACTGGTCGTGGAACCAATGCTTACAGGGCAGTACTGTGGCATCGTCCCCCTCCTTGAAGTCGTCAATGCAGATTGTGCACTCGGTCTTGCCGTCGGGGCCAAGCATCTCCTTGTCGACCTTTTTGCGCTTCAGCTTGCTGAGCGCATCTTCAGTCGCCGGGGGTGCCGCGTTCGATGCCGGGTTCTGCTCCATCAACTGAGAGATGATCCGGTCCAGGGCCTCCTGAGTGTACACAGCATCGCCGTGCGAGGCATTGGCTGGGTTGAGCATGTTGAGAATCTCATGGAGAAGTGTGGGCGCTTGATTAGGCGCCCGCTGTCCCTGGCCTGGACCCATTCCGGTCGGTTGAGGGGGTCCTGCTCCAGCTAAGACGCTGCTGAAGATACTAGGAAGTTGGTCAGCATTCGTTCTAATGGAAACGACTGTGATTCGAGGTCCAGGCGGTGGCTGGCCACGAGGTTCAAGGCTGACGTACGACTGGAAGGGGTCGCCTCCAGCTCCAGCAGGCGAGTTGGCTCCTCCTTGGTGAACATGGATGGGTCCAGTGGCGATCGTGAAGCTCGTGGTGCCTCCGGGACCTGTTCTCTGGAATGTGCGAACATTGCCCTGACCGCCAAAAATGTTTCCACCAGCGCCAAAGCCAGGAGGGCGAGTCTCGTCGGGAGGTCGCGGTGGCATGCCCATGCCGAAATCATTCACCATATCAATAAAGCGTCGAATAATCTGGTCGCCATCGTTCACGTCGGGGGGCTGGCGGGTGTTCGGGTTTGGGCTCTGTCCCGGGCGCTGGGAATTGTCCCAGATGGCTCGATGTACGACGAACCCGCCGGGGCCGCGGTGCAGATGCTCCTCTATATCGGCCTCTTCAGGATCCGAATCGTCGTCGTAGATGTGACGTCTGAGTCTCGGGGAATCGTGGAGAGGAGGCCCGTCCTCGATCTCTCTAGGGTCGTTCTCGGGAGAAACCTGGGTGTATGTCAGCAAATGTGGCAGGAGGGGCGCAGTGAATATATATCTTACAATCTCTGTAATCTCGCTTTCGCAGCGAGGGCACTGCAGACCATGCTCGTCTTGCCACCACTCATGGGAGCAGGCGTGACAGTAAACCACCTCTCGGCCATCCGTGGCAACCAAGTGCCCGCCTCTTGAGGCGTGTGAGTCCATCTCAGCCTGGTTGCTATTGTAGGCGGCGAGGGCTGTTAGACCAAGGCCTACAGCGAGGCCGGCGGCGCGAAGAGCTCGGAACGCCAGACTGGATGATTTATGGAGTCGTTTGTTGGTGGCAGAAGCTTGGGTATGGGCAAGAGTTGCGCTGTTGTCGGGTGACTGGCGCTGAAGCTCTTGTGCAGCTTCGACTGCTTGTTGATAATAGCCAAAGGTGTGGATCAGAGTGGAAAAGAAGGCTCTCAAGGAATGCCCAAAGTTGGGGCAGGCGCAATGCAAAGTTGGTATTGGTGTACGGTGTAGTGTGCAGAACGTCAGCCGAAGCGATGTTGGGGTCGTTATCGGTGGAGAACGGAAGGTGCGGTAGGACAGCGTTGTAATCTGAGGTCGGCAGGTACCTGGCAGGTGAGAGCAGCGTGGAGAGCAGAAAGCCTAGAGTGCACAAGGTCAGTAACTCAGCCTGCTTGAATTTTACGGAAACCCCAAAAGGCATATGACCAGTGAAGAGTAGATGTGAGAGGTGTGTGCTATGAGTTGTGTCTTTGGCATGTAATTCGGGTCTGTGACCGGCTGCCGCTTTGGGGGTGGTGGGTGATGGAGCTGGAGAATGGAACCAGAAAGACGTACCTGAGCTAAGCCGAACAATGGGGCATGCGCATATCTCCAATAGTAAGGTCACAAAAGTGAACGGAAGAGGACCGATCGCCACTGCTGCGGAGTAAGGTGCGAGGAAGAAAAGGAAAAAGGCAAAGGGAAAGGTGGTGGAGGAGAGGTGTGAGGGTGTTGGGTGAGGTTGTTGGGATCACAAAAAGAGAGGCCCGCGGCACTGCTCAAGCTCGGGATGATGCGGTGGACAGTGAGTGGACTGGAGAAAGAAAGAGTGCAAGCGCACCCGTCACGTCAGTTAGCGCTGCGCTGCTAGGCTGGGGGAGGTACCTCTTCACCGGAAGACGTGACGTGATGGTTGTAGTGGGGGTTATTTCCCGGCTTAGTAATCTTGCATTGTCCGGAACACCGCCACGAGCCACAACGGCATTGATCAGTGTCTCCACTTTTAAGCACCTCTCACCTTCTACCGGCTTCGGTGTGGCAGTGCGTCTCTTACCACCCATTACATTGCATCACCACCTCGCACCAAGTCTTCCGACATTCCCCAAGCAGGTATGACCCCTCGCTACAGGTGGATATCATAACCTAAACACTTACACCACATACCTTATGGACACTGTTCCAGCTGAAAGAGTGTGGCTTGGAAGGACTGTCAATAACCGTTCATTGCCTCGGGATCAACCCCAGCCGAGTTGTGTGTACTTGATACTCACGCTCAGGATGTCTTTATTCAACTGCAGTAACCCCTTCCGGTAAAAAGATGCTTTGCAACGGTATCAACTCAGGAGCCCTCATCCATATAGCTTCTCAGTCTCGCTTGTGCAAGAGCGTCTTCCATCGCCCGCTGTTCCTCAGCTCTCCTATCCCAATTCCAAGTCGGCGCCCTTTTTGCCCCCGCCGGACTCATCTCCTCCATGAGCTTGACGACATCGTGGTGCTTTCGACTCGTGGCCAGTTGCCGACTAGTCTGCCCACTCGTATCCCAAGAATCCGGATTCGCCCCGGCCCTGAGCAGCAACATGGCCGCCTCGACATTATCCCTCCAAAGGGCCACAAACAACGGGGGCGACGAGAACCGTCCGCCTCTCTTGTTGACGTCGACCTTGTACTCAGGTCTCAGTATCAACTGCAGGACAGACGTCATGTTGAACGACGCGGCGTAGTAGAGCGGTTCCGTGTGCCGAATGACGTCCAGGTCCGACGAGCGCAGAACGAATTGCACCCACGCCTCAAAGGCCCCGCCGTGCGAGAGCTTCTTGGTGTCGAAGAAGTCGAGGATGAGCTTCTCGTCTTCGTCTGCGAGGGGGAAGCGCTCAGAGTGGATGGGCCACATGTTTGTAGCGTAATTGAGCAGCGGGTAGGCTGCGAACCTGGTCTTCACGTGCCGGAGCTCGTCCAAGGGGCCTGTGGTGAAGGGCTCGAGTCTGAGGTAGGCGAGGCACTTGCGCATGATCTTTTGGTGACAGGCGGCTGCGTCCAGCGCGTATTCCGAGGCAGAGGAAGTTCGTATCCATTCTGATTGTAGAAATGTGCGGATGGAGTCGTGGGCGAGGGTGACATGGTGGTCGCTTACGTGGGCTAGGTCCTGGCAGATCTCGATGATGGCAGAGGGGTCGGTGAGTCGGTCGTCATCGTCAATGTCGACTTCGTCACCTTCGAGGACGATAGCTTCGGCGAGCTCATTGAGATGAAGCGGCCGGAGAGAGAAGCAGAGCCAGGCAAGAGCCTCGCGGGCCATGGCCCGGTCTTGTTGGGGTACACGGGTGAGGATACCGGCGTAAAACCCATTGAGTGTGGACGGGATATCGACCAGAGCTCGTCGTACGTCTCTTCCAGTGCGGAGGGTGCTGAGTCTATCCATGCATAATTTGGCCCATCGAAATCTGCAGCATTGTAAGTCTTGACCGCAACAGAGTCGAACCAGAACACTCACGTCCCATCCGCTTCTGATGTGACCTTGTCTTTGATCTCGGTCCGTATTTTCGCACTCAAGGACTGGAAACTGTGTTCGCTTGAGAGCCTTTTCTCCACATACACCTCGATATCACAATCTATAGACTGTGTGCTCATGTGTCGGACGTATATGCTGGGTTCAAGCTGCGCCGGCTCGCGCGTACAAGTAACTAGGACCCGTAGGTTAGAGTGCTTCGAGCAGAGGTGCAAGAGGGCTTCGACAATGACAGGTTCTTGGCTCGTCTCGTTGAGAGCGTCAATCATGAGATAAAAAGCATCAAATAATCCCAGAGCTTCGCCCATTACGCCGTAGATCTGTTCGACGGTCAGGTTGTTCTGCGGGATCAGGTTGTTCCCCAACTTCCTCAGTGGCCGGACGTGATCGAGGATACTGGGATTCGTCGCTCCTATCTGGGCCAGGATGGAGCCAAAGACGTTCGGCACGGCTTGGGATGCCGCGTCGTCTAGAGAGCAGCAATGAAAACCGACGCCTATGTTGCCGTTCTCTTCCGAGGCCTCATCGCCAGGGTGTGCTCTGAGGTCCTCAACGAGTTGCGAGCTTGTATCAGTCAGTAGGGCATGGACAACGAGAGAGAGTCTTATGTATGCTTACAAAAGCACCGTCTTGCCGGATCCTGCTGTTTGTTGCGTCAGTGGGATGCTGCACGGACTACAACGATGGGTGGCATGACTTACACCTTCCAGTGATCCAGAATACTGGCCGATCAGTGGAAGTGCTCCTTTGCCATTCCAGGAACGTCTTATCGACTATCCATCTGCCAGTACCCGGTGCGCGATCATGCCTAGAACTGAAAAGCTTGTCCTCACTATCGACAGGCGAAAGCCATTTTAGCAAATCAGCCGTCTCCTCCAGCATCCGATCCGTCTTGCGCGCAATAATATCCTCATGCACAAGCGCCGTCAGCTTCTGCATCTCTGACAACACAGATGCCGTAGTATCGAGTGAATCCCGCATCAGTACCATGATGAACCAGGTCTTGGCTCTCTCGACAGTAGCAAAATACGTCTCTACATCGCCCTGCCGAAAAGGCCAGGCAAGACTTTGGGCAGCGCGGCCCAAGGACGACGTCTTTGGCGTACCGAGCTTCTTTCGTATGGCGTCGAGGGTCTCCTGAGTCATCTTGAGCATGGCGCGAGCCTGCTCCTGTAGCGGGTTATCCATGCTACGCTCGTTTTGTGTGTGGAAGTGGTCCATTGCGCCTTTGAGGGCGAGGAGCTCCTGAGTGAGCTTGCGGATGTCATCTTTGGCGGATTTGACAGCCGAGATGTATTTGCAGAGGCGCTCGACTACTTCAGTAATGCAGAGGGCGACCTCTATTACGGTTAGGGCTTCGGCCATTGGGTTGCCGCATTTAGCACTTTGATGTAGGCTGCGACTCAGAAGTATCGTGTTTGCGGGTAGAGGCCATAGCTCCAGGCCAAGGTTTTTCGAGTTTGTGTGGGCAGAGAACCGCCAATCTGTGACAACTTGTGGCCAGACGATGGTGGCGTCTAGGCTCCACGACAATGGAGCTCAAAAATAATAGTAAGGCTGGAGAGCCTGATAGTCCAGGGTCGATCGACAGACGTCAGAACCGGAAGCCAGACGGGTATTCGATCAAAGTATCGGGAGTCCAAAGTAACGGGAGTTCTTCAACATTCGAGGGCCGTTCCGCGGCCGGGGAAGCCCCGCGCGCACGGATCAAAGTGAAGGTGGGGGATGAGGGTTGGTGGGGGTTGTGGCACGTGCACGAGCTTAGCGAGACCTTAAAATGTCTTGCGCTAGCGGATCTCTGCAGGGACTCGGGTGAAGAGCATCATGTCTCTCTGCTGTTTCATTGAGAATGGTATCATCAAGCAAATTGCCATGAACATGTCCGAGTCCACTGTTACTTGCCGAGAAGTTCCCGACTTCAATAACATACTTACCATGAGTACTCATCTTCGAGATATGAGTTGCTTAAAACATACTTAAGTAAGGATAGAATACTGCGTGAATGATAGTAAGAAATCCTTGACACTTCCAGGTGGACGTTTCGACACCTTAACATGTCTTTATTCCCAAGCTCATGTAAACAAATACCGGTGACTGGAAAGTCATTTGCATCTTACAACACGTCTAGATCCGTCTACAGCTTAGACTCCTAGTAGTGTTGCTGCTACGGATATACTACGAATACAGACTGCGATGTACAGTGGAAACCCCACTACGCCAGCCGCATTACAGGGTGACTAGGGTATCCCTTTCTTCCCGGCTCGCCTCCCAATTCGTGGAGCTGCGGGCCGCGGAGGTATTCAAGTCGTCCCAGCCGTCAGGACTCTGGAGGTGAATTGTCAGCAAAACTCTTTTCCAAGTTTTTCTTCAATTGCTCATTTTCTGCGACCAACTTGCAGTCACGGGCACGCGGGAGAGACTCATCAGCTGGCCCCTGTTGAGACTACCTTACCTTGTGCAGTGCAGTACAGTATGACGAAAAGGCAAGCATTTTCTTTCCCTCAACAACCTTATACTCCGCCGGCGGCCTTACGCAGCAACCCGGCATCTGATTCCACATTGCGCCGGAACAAACGTGCCTAGGCCGGATCTACCTCTCCACTACCGCAATCGCCTGTTGCCCTGCCGCAACCCAAGTTAATCCCAGCCTCTGTGCATTCCGGCCATAGGTAGTCGTCAAGTCAAACATTTTGGATTTCTCATCACACTTTCCAGAGACCCGGAACAGCAATAGAAGCCGCAGTGCTTCTCCCACCGGCGCCGGCGCGAACTTTACTTATCCGCTTCGGCCCCCTTTCGAGCCGTCCAATTGCCCCTCCCGCCTTCTCAGCGTTTCCCTAACGCATTGCGGCTTTTAGGCATTACACTCACCTCACGCATAAGCCACCTCAAACCAAAGCATTTTCTGGTACGTAATATGCAAGTAGCCAATCCACATATGCAATACTGTCGTTAGTCCCCCGAACTGCCCGTGGCTGAGATGCGCCATCGTCACCTTTGCTCCAAGACATGTGCTGCTTTCTCGCCCAACCGTTATTCTCAGTCATCCTTTCAGTGAGAAATCTCACGTTCTGATGACCGTGTACCAGACAACTCATAAGCGCCCTTATGATAACCAACCCAAGGCTGACTCGAGGCTGCAATATCGTCCAAAGAGCACAGCTGCTTCAAAACTGATGAGATAGCGGCAGCCCACCAGTCTTTAAGTATTATATCGTCATCAAAGGCCAAGCCTCGATAATCGACTCCCTTGGCTCGTTATCAGGCGTCGCGCCAACTCGCACGCTCTGCACGCCCAATAGCCTGCCGCTTCTTTATCTCAACGACAGGGTACCTTCAACATCGACCGAGAGGAGAGACGCCCGCAGCCCGCGAACCACCCCTCCACACCCCTCTCTCTCCCTCCACGGTTCTCGCTCCCGTCCCTGCGGTACCCTCTCCTTCGGCATCGGGTATCGCTGTCTTGCAGCTCTTGATTCTTATTGCTCCGGTGGGGGCCCTGGGCTGTCACTTCAGCTTGCTGCCGCCCGTCGCATCCACCCCGTCTCCCGGGGACTTGCTGTCCCCATCTGATTTCCACATCTCCGCGCACCGCATCAAAGTTGGACTCAGCATCTCCGGTCGCTCACCTCACCACTTCCGGTGCGTCAACGTCATCTCATTAGTTCGGAACTCGGCAGCCAGAGACGTGTCTTGTAAAGATGGACGATCAAGATCTCCTTTTGTCGTCCACATCCGGCGGCTCCCTGACCAATCCCCCGGAACAGCCCTCTTCATCATCCTCGTCCGCACCACAACCACAACCACCGGCGGCCAAGAAGAAGTCGTCGCGCAGAGGAGGCGATTCGGCGTCACAGAAGCGGCGCTGCGTGAGCACAGCATGTATCGCCTGCCGCCGGAGGAAATCGAAATGCGACGGAGCCGTGCCCAGCTGCGCTGCGTGCGCCAGCGTTTACGGCACCGAGTGCGTCTATGACCCAAACTCGGACCACCGCCGCAAGGGCGTCTACAAGGAAAAGGTCGATAGCATGAAGGCGCGCAACTCGACACTGCAGATTCTCATCGAGGCCATTCTCAACGCAAACGAGGATGAGGTCCCCGACATTGTGAAGAGGATCAGGACCTGCGACAGCCTTGACACTGTCGCTGAGCAGATCTTGAAACATGAGACTATGCTTCAGGAAGCCGAGGATAACGACAATGGAGACGACGGTTACACGATCGACATGCCCATCGAGGGTGAGAGGGAACTCGCTCGCAAGATGGGCGAACTACGCCTCGAGAACGGCTCAGTACGCTTCATCGGAGGCACATCACATCTCATCTACCTCGGCGACTCAGGCGACGCCAACACAAACGAGCCCGAATCCGACGCGAATCTCACCAATGAGGATCCCGTCACTAGCTGGACGAGAGTTACGCAAGATAAGGAACTCATCGCCCACCTCATGAACATGTACTTCAACTGGCACTACACATACTTCACGACACTATCAAAAACACTATTCTATCGTGACTTCTTCAAGGGGAAGCACGGTCTCAACTACAAAGGCACCATCTACTGCTCACCACTCCTAGTCAACGCCATGCTATCCCTCGGGTGCCACTTCACCAGTGTGCCGGGAGCGTACGGGGCGCCGGGGGACAGCCGTACAAAGGGCGACCATTTCTTTGCCGAGGCGAAGCGTTTGATTGTCGAGAATGACGAGTACGAACGGCCCAAGCTCACGACCGTCCAGGCTCTGGCGCTCATGTCCGTCCGGGAGGCCGGCTGCGGGCGGGAGGCGAAAGGCTGGGTGTACTCGGGCATGGCTTTCCGCATGGCCCAGGATATTGGCCTCAACTTTGACGACGGCGGCATGTCTAATGACAAGGAGAATCTCGGCGAGCACGCCGTCGACGCAAGGCGAATGACGTTTTGGGGGTGCTTCCTCTTCGATAAGGCGTGGTCGAACTATCTGGGTCGCCTCCCGCAGATACCCAAGAACTCGTACAACGTGCCCAAGTACGACGTCTTTCCCTCTGAGGATGCGGAACTGTGGGCGCCTTATACGGATACGGGGTTCGATCAGACGTGCAGTCAGCCGTCGAGGACGCGAGCCGTGGGGTTACAACTCTCGAAGCTTTGTGAGATAAGCAGCGATTTACTTTTATTCTTTTATCATCCAAGTCACATTGGCCGCTCGAGTGGGAAATCGGTGGAACTCAAGAAGCTGAGCGAGCTTCACCGGAGGCTGGAGGACTGGCGAAAGGAACTACCAAACGAACTGGAACCAAAGGAAGGACAACTCCCTAACGTAATCCTCGTACAGTAAGCCCACCACCACACTCTTCAACAAACTCACGATACTAACATTATCCCAGCATGTTCTTCCACCTCCAGTACATCCACCTCTTCCGCCCTTTCCTGAAATATACACCCGCAGCCTCACCCCTCCCATCTCACGTCTCCCCACGCCGCATCTGCACAGCCAACGCCGGCGCAATCTCCAAACTCATGCGCCTCTACAAGAAAAATTGGAACCTCCGGCAAATCTGCAACATCGCCGTCTACATGGTCCACAGCGCCTGCACGATTCACATGCTCAACCTCCCCGAGAAGACAGCCAAGCGCGACATCATCCACGGCGTGAAGCACCTCGAGGAAATCGCCGAAGACTGGCTCTGCGCGCGCCGCACGCTAAGCATCATCAGCGTGCTGGCGCGAAAATGGAACGTCGAATTGCCCGAGGAGGCCGAGGCCGTGCTACGGAGGACGGACGAGACGTACGGCACGTTTAGTACCTCGGACGTGCCGTCGCCGAGGTCGAATCTCACTGTTGCGTCGTCGCCTTCGCCGACGCAGGGTCCCGTTTCGCCGGTGATGGGGAAGCCGGATCAGTATAGCCCGCTTAACCAGTTTGCGCAACCGCAGACTGGCGAGCAGGATGTGGCGCCTAGTCCGACGGATCTGCTCATGGCGAGCGCGTCTCTTGCGCAGATCAGCGGCGCGAGACCACCCTCTCATCAATCTCACAACGGAATGGGCATAGGACCCAACTCTCTAGGCGGCTGGTCCCAAGCCGGCCTCGCCCAGTCAATACCGACATACCAACAGCAACAACGTTTCACACCAATGAACAACAACCTCGCCCCATCACAGACACCCCGCGCCGGACCCGGCAGCGCGTCGCGACAGCAGCAACTATCCCCCGGCCAGGTCTTCCAAGGCCTAGACCAGGACTGGTTCCTCAACGACGGCGCAAAGTGGCACCAGAACTTTGAAGCGTGGAATATGGCCACGTCTCAGCCCGGCGGCGGAGGCGGAGGCGGGATGGCGGCGAGCGATCAGATGTTTATGTTTTCGAGCGGGAATGGCGGGATGCAGCCGCCGCCGCAACCGCAGCCGCAACCGCCGAGGCAGTCGTCTGAGGATACGGCGAGTCCGAATTTTGAGGGGTTGAGTTCGTTGGATACCCATGGGTGGTTGCCGGGGCTGGATTAGGACTTGGAGTTCCATTGTAATCTACCTTCCCAGCAATAGACTTATGTGCGGCCCTATGAATTGAGAATAGATGAATGAATGTAAGAACAACGCCGCGTCTTCCATCTTAATTTTGTGCCACTATGCGCTCCCAAGATTGAAATCTCCGCGACTTGGAGAGGCTTGATTGATTTTCAACATGACCCCTGACCAGGATTTGGCTGGGCCGTCTTCTAGTCCGCAGGCATTTGCATGACCGATCTCTCATTTCGAGGCTCCTTTGTTCTCTTGAAGAATGAAGCGACGGGACTGTTCATCCCCTTACCACGTCCAAGTGGACAAGGTTAGCCATGGCAGGTTATATAGACCAACAAAGACTCATGAACAGCGTTATATCGATTTCAGGAATCATCGAGGTGGACAAAGTCTGAGGTGCTTAAACAAAGAATCCCGGCAGACCTGTCCATTTACAAACTTGAACATATATTTCGGTCTTGTTCGCAATTTCCCAGCTGTTTCCTAACCCTCATCAACTTCTCGCGCTGCCAAAGATGGCGCCACCGCGTACTAGCAAAGCGCTTACTTCAAACAACACCAATTGCGCAGCAACGACGGAGAAAAACTTTATGGAACCGGTTCGTGTGGCACCCTTGGTGGAAAAAATGCTTATTGTCTTCCAAACAATTGACTACCATCTTCGCGGTCGAACACTCGACTTCTTCTATGAGGAGCACGACTTAGGACAAGCTTACAAAAGACTCAAAAGATGGTCGAACGACTACAAGGTTCCTAATGGATACTGGGATAGCTATTTAGAGATATATAAAAAGCTGCGATGCCTTACGCTTCGGAAATTGAACAGCATTGCAAGAGTTCTTTGTTCGAGTAAGTGGTCATGCAGCTGCCGGAACACTCCAGGAGTTGCCTATTGACTCGAAAAGAACATGAAGCTTACCATCTCATCCTCATACATAGGACTCGCGGATCCGTCACTTTGGGCTGTGTGGGCACAGCAGAGGCCTTATGACTATCTCATCACCAAGGTCAGGGAACTGCGTGAAGAGATGGACAGGACCAAAGGTGCCTACTGCGATCCAGACTGCGGAGCTTTGGTACCGCTACACTGGACTGTGACGAACGAAGATGTCCGTCCTAAGATTACGGAACTTGCAGACGACCCAGCCGTGAAGCATTGGATTACACTGAATGACACTGCGCTGGATGACACTGTCAACCAGGTTATTGCAAAGTTGATAGAGAAGCAAGGCAGCGAGTGGAAGGAGGTCTGGGTCAAGGCGGTACTGAATGAGTTTGGTCAAATCTATGAAAGTATAGTCAGGGATATTGACTATTTGGAGGGGTTGTGGAAGTTGAAAACGATTCTGCCCGCCGACACGGTCGGGGAAAAGCAGCATCCGGTGTCATTCTTTCGGAGGTGCCTCGGACGCCGAAAGTAAAGACTTCTCGCAAAGGACTGAAGGTAGCAGAGTTCGTAGTAGTAGCTATTGGTATGTTCCCGTTTTGTTTTCACATCATGTGCCTACTGTTGCCACGTATTTGTTTACTTGACGGACACTCTTTTCGGCTCCCGTCTCGGAAGGATCGTCGCATAGCCTACGTGGAGGATGGAAAGAGAATATATTACGATGCGCTTGTGAATGGGTCTGTGTCTTATGAGTTCAGAATAGCTGGGAACTTGAGCCATGTCATCAAAGAATAGAAGTCTCCCGGGACCCTGTGGACCGCTCACGGTGCGAACGAAAGTTGTACTGCGCGAGATAGGTTCAACTTCGAGGACCGGCTTGTTGGGGAGATCTCACCTCGAGACAGCTTAGTCCTCTTTTAGTCTCTTATGGGTACTTTGGAGGCCCTTGGGAGAACAAGAGTTTGTCAAGTCATAACTTCCATATTGACTCGAATCTTTTCATCACCGGACCTGGTGGTCTCTGCAAAGCAGCTTCATGGGAAGGGAGGACGCGACGTCATCAAGAAACATTCCTGAACATTTCTTGAGGTTGAGGAAGACAACAATACCGTGAAACAATGTAATGACGTCTTCCCGTGGTCTTGAAGGTTGTGGACTGCGGGTATGACTTGTCCTACCCGGTCGCAGCCCAAACGTCAATTCCCTCAGGAAGCTGTCCAACATCTTCAATCATCGCTGACATCCAGTGTCTTGATCATATCGCTCAACTCGCAAACCACGCTCTCGTATACAGCCTGCTGCAAGCGCGGCTTCAACAAGTCGTCACCGAATCCAAAGTCACACTCCAGACATTTCCTGGTGAGGTCCCTGTACTTCGGACCCAAAGTAGGGACCTGCCGCGACAGCCTCCGAACGCTGAGAACGTCTTCCGGGGCCTCTAGGCTAGACCACCGTCCGATCTGAAGCAGAGTGATACCGAGACTCCAAAGCGTCAGGTTGCGTATACCGTACTCCAACTTTGCGCGCTCGGCAGCGCTCTCTACTTCGTTAGGGCTGCCGTCGCTGCTGTCCTGCACGGCCGTCGCCTCTATTCCCTCCATGCTTCGTGGTAGGCTTGCAGCGGATGACTGGACAAAGTCGAAGCCTAGATGGAGGGTCCGAAGGCACCTCGAAAAGTCCCCGCTCATCTGAAAGAAGGAGAGGTCCCGTAGGGTGAAGTACTCTCTCAGCCACGGCGTGGAGTAAAATTTGAGAACCGCGCTCACCATGTCACGAGCCAGCTTTAGTTGGTCGATAATGGAAAGCGTGGTCTCGGCAGGAGTCATCAACACGTCGTTCATTGACATCAGAGCTTGAGATGTGGTCATGATGTGGTTGTGATTGTCCACAGATCCAGGGTAAATCGAATGCCGGAATGGATCTTGCGATGAGCTGTCAATGTACCCTAGGCATTGATCGCTACAAACCCCTTCTGAGGCAAAGTTGAAGACGCTATTCAAGGCTGGGCATAGACCCTTTGAGCACAAGTTGACTGATGAGCCCTGGCGATGGTTCACGCCCCTCGTTGCGTCAAACTCATCATCTTCTTTGCCGGCCTCTTCTCGCACGTCTTCCGAAAAGCGGACCTTTCTTCGTTTCTGCCGGGGTCTTTCGTCTGGATCAGGTACGCCTGACGTAGAGTTGTCGGTTTCAGCAATCCACGTCCGTATCTGTGATCGCACTAGAATTCTAGCAAGTCTTTCCTGTACCACCGTTCTATGATCTTCAGCATACTACCCGGAAGGTATAAGCACTAGGAACGCTCACCTATCAGTAAGCTCATGGCCCATGCAGGATATAGCAACATGCATCTGAACATCGTCTTTGACCGTGGTATCCAGAAACAGTCGAACAGTATGGCGCATGCCGAGTACCTCGGTGGAAGTACTCGAGGTAGACCAAGCTTCGGCAAGGGCTTCGTGGAAGGCTTTCGACGCTCTCCTGACTTGACCGATATGCCCGTATTCTTGGCTTAGTTTCCCAGGAGGTTGCTTCGTTGCTATGAGCTCATTCTTATTCCGTCTCAGCTCACTCCTCTGCTCTCGGATACGTTTGAGGTCGTCGATGGACGCTCGCAGATCTTGGATATGTTTCTCGAACCTGGATTCGTCCAGTGAGATTTTCACCCGTCCGCGAAGCCGACGCACAGCATCTTTGAGACTTTCACCCTAGAATTGTGATGGCATGTCAGTTCTCTCTTCTATCATTCTCGTATGCCATGTTCCACTTGCCTGTCGGCACTCTGCCGTGAGTCCGTCGAAGCAGCGGAAGTCGTCCTGAAAGCTTTGCGCCGCGCCGACGATGTCTTCAATCACGCCCTGGCAGACATCATAATCCTTATCGAGTGCTTTTCTCATCTCTTCCTCAATCTGAGAGCTATGCCATTGTTGAGTGTTCTCATTCTCAAGCATTGAGGCGATCGTCTCTTCATTCTCAACAGTTCGTCTAAGCAGCAGGTGTATCTCATTCGTAAAGAAGTTCAGTTGACGGTCAACTTGCTTTTGGATGCGCCGGACTTCTCTCGAGTAGTGTCGAAACGTCTTGAATTTCTTGCGGACAACAGAGCATGCCTTGATTGCTCCGCCGACCAACGGCAAGAGGCCCAAAGTCAGAGAGAATGGATCCATTTGCACATCCGTTTCAGATCTTCCAGTTCATGACTCTATCCTAGGAATGTGTTCTTTTCTACCACCTCAAAATGCAAAGATCAGGCTGTTGACACCAGGTCTGGCATAACAGGCGGCAAAAGGCGTCAGCTCATTGGTTAAAGCACCATTGCGCCTCAAGGAGGCAGGCTGGCGATTATGTTGGAACATGTTGTTACCCCGCTCGCACTTTCGCCGTCACTGCCTTATCCACAACCACGTCTGTCGATGAAGAAAATGGATTCTTTGAATCTCAAGAAAGAAGGAAACGTTGACACGAGCTATCTCATCCGGTTGTTCCTAAATGCGGCGGCCGGAGAAACACCACATGTGGGTGCTAGCCTTGTTGCACGCCTGACTGAAGGAACGGTCGCCGTGTTTCAGGACATCAACAAATATCTGATCGACAGATTTAATGGAATTTCAGAATCACGATCATACTCTGTTAGTCTTAGAAGAAGCTCCGACAGACTTCAGCTCTGGTCAGACGGATATGGGATTTCCAGCGCAGCCTCCGATGAAATCTTCGATCGATCTTGTCGGTTACGAGGTGCAACGCTTGAGATTCTATGCAGTATAGGGTCGACTCTCACTGAAAGTAAGTCTGAAGTTCGCCGAGTAATATTTCAAATCGAAGTTGCACCGAAGCTAATTGTCGTTGTCCAACATTTAGGGCTCGTAGCATCAACTTGGGCGACAGGCCTTTTAGGAAAGACACAACTTTCAGAAAGCTTTACGAACAAGGTGGAAAACTTACGGCAACTGATACAAGAAGCCGAAGACGACCTTTTAAAGAGTGAATCTTCGACTGGATCATCAGAGTATGATGATGACGATATCGCGCAAATTACCGCAGATCTTGAAGCAGACACCAGAAGTTTGATGGACCTCGATAGCTTATTCTCTGAACCCATCTTTGATATTGAACACGCGAGGCAACCCCTTGACTCGTCTTGGCACAAGTGGAAACCGCACGAACCTTACAGACAACTCATAGGCAAGCAATTTCCCAAAGCGAATGAGGAGCTCGTCACCAGTCTCGGGAAGGCCAATTATGAGCGATTCTTGAGAGGCAAAGAGCAAAGGGACAAGAATTTTTGGGCATGGTGTGAGGATCCAAAGGGACCTCGGCTGATGCATCCGAGTGAGATCAAGGGTTTGGAACCTACGAGCTCTAAGTTCACAGATTCAGGCCTTGGATCATCTATTCCTTCATCTTACGCCGAGACAATCATGTCATACCACGGCGGTGAAGGGACCTCAGTACGCTTGCCGCCTCTACCCAGGAGCTCCAGGGGTGGGTTTCTCTGCATGGCGTGCGGTAGAGCGACTGCTGTGGAAAATAAGTCTGCATGGAAACGGCACTTGTACAACGACTTGATGCCTTGGCAATGCCTAGAACCCTCGTGTGGGCATCTGGGTGTCTTCGGCACTCGTGAAGATTGGGTCTCACACCTCGCTCTCGACCACTTTGGGCCCGAGTGGAAAGAATCCGAGTGTCCGCTATGCCGGAAAGACACCGGTTGTGGCAAGACTGCTATTCTAAGTCACCTCGGAGGTCATCTTGAAGAGATCTCTCTTGCGGCTCTCCCTTCAAACCCTGATTCGGACACAGAAAGCCAGCCATCGAACACCAGTCAGCAAGATAAAGTTGCTGGTAGTGATGCCGAGGAAATCAACTCAGCCGCAGGGATCATGGTTGTAGAGTGTCCTCCTACTCATCCAGATGATACCCAAATCTTTGAGATGACACGAGAAGGGCCAGTCACTCTTGAAGAAGTCGCAGACTATCTTGGGGAAGTTATGCGCCAGGGGCCTAATTTTGAAGACGAGTTTCTCCATCTACTGCAAAATTATGAATTTGATATGTAAGGCACAAATTTCATGTCCTCTCCGTTAACACGCTGTTGTTTACTAAATTAATATTCTCGCAGCATCTCGACCCAAGAATTCTACGTCAGTATGAAGAGTATTCTTTCTAATCGCCCTGACTTCAGGGGTCGTCCATGGTCTGAGGAAACCTTTCCCCATGATCAAATGAAATTGAAGTTGAAGCTGCCCGATAACTAATCTGTGTCTCGTTCAAGAGACACTTTGCCGGGGTTTCAACGTCGAATTTGCCCGCCAGATATACGCGGCTGAGAGCGGGAGCTTCAATCCGTCTACATCACATGGGAGGGGGAATAGGAGCCGTTTCAAAGATTGATCAATGCAATGATACGTCCTCCAAATTATGATATTTTCTAGAAGTCAAGGGACTAATGTTTAGAAGGAGGGAGTGAAGAGAGATGAGTGGTAACTGCTGCTATAGCAGTTGGAGGATTTTCTTCTAGTAATTTGAAGTGAGGCGAGACACTGATACCAAAGAACCAGCTCGGCTTTTGCCCAAATTATACTATGAACACACACTCTGTCTACTCGTTGCTGCACCAAACAAGAGATGTTGCTTGCACAAAAGTTGAGGTGGGCTGTAGGGTAGTACGCATGTAGACGAGAGCCGGGATATGCTACTTCGCCATTTCAATGTCGTAATATGAATGTTTCTGAGCCTGAGCTGACTTGATTCTCCGTAGAATCAAGTAAAAGCAGAATGCCTAGGATCCATGATACTACAAACTTCAAGTTCCCGATGCTCTTATCTCACTACTTATATCGTGTTCCTCTGCGTAACTTTCTCAATCACTTTAATGCCCCAGAACCAAATGGTAACATGACTTCACGATACAAGAAAGCAGTGTGGTCTAGGTATACTATCCTGCATCTTCCTGCGCACGATAATAGCGGTCTCTGCTGTGCTAGAGTCTCTGGAAGATCTGGGGCCTTACATCTGCTCGTCTATCGATAAATTTCTATTATTTTCCATATACGTTCACGGTGAATGAATGAACAAGGTCATAGACTAAGGCTTTGTTCTCTGTTTCGGTATATGACGCTGCGGGCTAACGAAGCATACCAAGGCAGGTTATACGGCTGAACAAAGATACATGAACAACGGGCCTGTGATTTGAAGTTGACTTATCGGCAGATATATCAGGAGTCCTGAACAAAGGATGCCGGTGGACCTGTTCAAACATACTTAATCTGCTCTGATACATCGTTCTCCTGTTCTTCAGCTCTTTCGATCTGCGTAACCCTCTCACATTGCCAACCGAAAAGATGGAGCCACAAAATAAGGTGAAAATAAGCACAAGAAAAGACTTAACGTGCTTAGGGGAAGGCCCTAGAGGACCACTTCAGGTGACATTGTTTACGGCACAAATTATCGCTATCTTGAAAGACACTACGAACACCTTGCCTTGCGAGCCAGAGTCAGACTTCTGTATCCAGCAGCATGATATTCGGCAGATTCACAATCAACTCAAGCTCTGGATGAACCTTCATTACAATGGCAGTCAGGGTCTGCGTGCTATCTTGGAGAAATCTAGCGAGGGGCGATGCAAAACGCTCAAGATCTTGAGTACGATGACGATTCTTATTTCAAGTAAGTAGTCGTACGTGAATCGCCTATATAGTTATCAGGCCTTGCCAGTTAGACCCCATCGGTTTAGGGATAGCTTAAGGGGCATAAAGAGGGGGACTAAGTAATAAAGGAGTAGCTTAAGTATATATAAAATACTAATAATACGCTTTAAAAAAAGAATAGATTTTAATAATTTATTTTTTAAACCTTAATAATAATTAGTTTTTATAAGCTTTTTTTTTATATTATATACTTATTAATAATTTAAAATTTTTATTTATAAAGGGGACTAAATTAAAAACTTAAAATACTTATAAAAACGAAATATAACGAGAGAGTATAATTAGTATTATAATAATAAAAAAAGGATAACTTATTTTTATTAAATCCCTTAGAATTACCTTTTTTTTAATAAATAATATAAGAATAGAGTATAATAGGACGAACTATATAATAATAATATAAAGGGACCGTATTATTAAAAATGTTAACGAATTTTAAATAAAATAATAAACCTCTTACCCTCGCTCGCTTATATTTAAACTAAATAATTAATAATAAACTAATAGAACTATAAAAATAAGAATAATAATTAAAAAAAAAATCTTTATAATAATATATAAAGAGTATTTATATAAAAAATAAGTAAATTTAGAACGCTTATAAAGCTCCTTAAGTAGCTTAACCCTTATACTAAGAGTTATAATTTTAATTATAATAACCTCGGATATTAATTTTAATATAAATAAAAACGTAAACCTCTAGATTAAAAATAGTTTAATAAATAAAATCGTATTTAAAGCGCTACTTAAATAATAATAAAATAACGAGTTTATATTACTTAAACCTCTATTTATTAACTCTTTTTTAACTTAAGTAAGTATTATAAGTAGAACGTTTATATTTAAATTACTATCCCTTTTTAACTTATTATATATTAATAAATTAATATAGGACTTATAGAGCTTCTTATTTAATTATTATTATTACTTCGATTTATAAGCTTAATAAATAAGAATAGACTATAATAAAATAATATATATAGTTAATTACTTAAGTAGTAGTATAAAAACTTCTTAAATATATTATATTTTTAATTATAAAAAGGTCCTTAGGTTTATAATAAACTAAGTTATATAAAAAAAACTAAAGACCTTTTTATAAAATAACCTATTTAATCTTATTAATTAAAAGATAATAATAAATATATATTTAAATAATACTTCGTAAAGTTAAAAAAAGAGGGTTAATAAGTTTATTAGTTATATTAATAAGCTTAAAATAGAACTAAAATATATTTTAATAAAAAAATAAAAGATCTTAATATTAATAAGTAAGCTACCCCCCCGACGGAGCAATCCGCCGGGGCCGTACCGTGTATTACGTATTAAGGAAAACTAGGTATATTACGCTCCATACCTAACTACTAATTAAAACAGCAGTCAACTAACTCAACCATTATCTCCCTTTTATCAACTCCCAACCTTCCGCCGCGTAAAGTCCTCCCAAGTTCCAGCCGCCTACAGGGCGAGCTTCACCCACTCCAACGCGCACAGGACCTCCTAATGCCAGCCCGCGTAGGCAGCCAGGTCCAGCATAATCTATTCTTTTATATAAGTATTATCGTTACCCAGGGGGTCCCATAAGAGCCGTCTAAGGCGCCGGCTTATTACCCTAACCTTATATACCTCCAGCCCGTCTATCGTGGCCATTATAGCCAGGCTAGCATCGATATACTAGATCCTAGTATCCATACCGGCCCGGCTATCCACGGCGCCTATAATATTACCCAGCCGAATTCCGCACCCCCAGAAGGTACTTCGCCACTTCTTAGGCGTACCCACGTTAGCCACGATGGCCACAGCGTCGAGCTGGCCGAAGAGGGCGCCCAGCCCGAGAGGGGCAGACTTATCAACGGGCATCTTTAGGTAAGAGAGTTCTAGCCCACTAATTGCTAACTATATGCTAGGAGTAGAGTAGGTTCTTATCGAGGTAGTATTTTAACTAGCCAACCTCTTAACTAGTTATCTAACTAGCTATCCAAGTAGTAGTTTGTGTATTAATAAGTTTATTTAGTAGATTTATTTAGTAGATTTATTTAGTGGATTTGTTTAGTAGATTTGTTTAGTAGATTTGTTTAGTTTAAATAGAGAGCAGCTTTAGGCGATATTAAAAACGATAAGGATAAAAAAAATCTTTGCGAGCTCTAATACGAAGAGTAATAAATATTAGCCTATTTAGCCCTTTCTCTAAAAACCTCTACGTTACTATCAAAGTTCAGAACCTCTACAATTAAAGAAGGCCGCCTCTAACTATTACGGCCGACTATTACGGCCGACTATTACGGCCAACTATTACAACTAACTATTACAGCCAACCTCTACTATTAACCTTTCCAGCCGGCGCCGCCGCGTAAGTATATCGCTCAGCCTATCGTTAGCAAGCAGCCAAAGAGGGCAGCTTACCCATCCCAAATTAAATAGCAGTTTTCATATCGAAATTACTATATTACGTTAAGCGCGTACTTAGGATATATTACGCATATTATATAGTTAAAAAATATACTATATCGTATAATTTCCCTTAAAAGCGTAATCCCATTAAAGTCGATCTTTTGTACCTATAAAGCCAGAAAAAAAACCACCACATAGGTAAGCTACGGCCTAAACTACGCTTTATAATAGTATTATAAATAAAACTTTTATAAACTCGCTTATAATTAGTATTATTAATAAAACGTATTAAGTAATTTTTATTATTAATAGGGAGCTTATAAACGTCCCCTAAGTAATATTTTAACTTAAACTTAAATAAGTTAATAAGGAAATATAAGGGTATTAATAAGCTAATTACGTAAAGAATATATTATAACTTACTTAATAAGGATACTATATATTATAATTATAAAAAAACTAATTATATTATAAAGGATTATTTATAATTATAAGAGTAGTATTAGTAGTATTATAATTATAATAAAACTAAGTACTTTATTAATAACTACTTTAGCGTTATATATTATAAATATAATTAAAAAGGGTATAAAGCTATTAATTATTAATTAGACCTTGCTCTAACTAAGTAGTATAAACTAATAATAAACTTAAATACTATTTTAATAAAAAGAGTAATTAGTAATTAATAAGGGTAATACTTAAATATCTTAACTTATATATATTTAAATAGTATATAAAAAAAGCTAAGCGCCCTTATTAATTTAAGAATAAAAAAGAACGTAGTTAGTATTAGGCTATTTAATAATTTTAATATTAATTTATAAATTTACTTATTATTATAATTAATAAATATTAAGGGTAAATAAATAGAGACGCTAAGGAGCTATTATTTATAACTTCGAATTATTAATAATAATAACATAATAAAAATATAGCTATATCGCTTTATAATAATTAATATTATAATACTTATACTTATTTTTAGTTTCTCTTAGCTAGAGAATATTAACTTACTAATTAGTTAGAAATAAAAGAAGTAATAGTATTTAATTTATAAATAATATATTTATTCAAATACCCTAAGAAAGGGGTTACTAAACGACTTAGTTTTAGTAATACTTATATATATTATAATTAACCTAGTTATAAATAGCGACGTAATATTAATAAATATAGCTAAGGATTAAAAGCTATAATATTAGGACTTTAATAACTTATTTTTAAAAAAAAAGGCTATTTTATTACTAAATAGAGTATTATACGATTACTATATTAAACTAAACGACGTTATACTTATTTTATAAGGACTTATTTACTTATTATTAAATTATAAGCTCGAGATTTTACGAAACTATTTAATAAAAGTAGAGGCTAGGGGCTGGATATACCCTTTTATAAGCCCGGCTAGCGTACTTATTTTTTTTATATTTAAAAAAAGAGGAGAGCTATAACTTTATATTAATTATAGAGTAATTAATAAAATTATATAAAAAAATAAAACGCTATTACTATTAATTAGAGAGATATTAAATAGATTATTTAATACCTCTATTTTTATAAAGCTAGATTTTAAAAACGTATATTACTATATATATATAACTAAGGGTAATAAATAGAAGACGGCTTTTTATACTAAATACGGGTAGTTTAAGTACTTAGTTATACTTTTTAAACTAATTAACGTATTTATAACTTTCTAAGTATATATTAATAACGTTCTAAGCGGCCTAGTTAATACTATTTATATTATATATTTAGATAATATTTTAATATATAGTAACGACTACGTAATATATAAAAAGTACGTACATAACGTACTATAAAAGCTATAGTAATAAAACTTATATTTAAATAGTAGTAAATACGAGTTTTATATATTATATATAAGATTTTTAGGGTATATTATATTTAATAAAAATATAAAAATAGAACTTATATATATTAAAACTATAATAAATTGATTATTTCTAAAGAGCGTTAAAAATATATAAACATTCTTTAAATTTATAGGGTTTTATTATAAATTTATTAATAATTATATGAAAATAACTATACTTTTAATAAACTTATTAAAAAAAGTAAAGCTAGGGGAATTAAAGCTATTAATACTTACTATAAAGTTATTTAAGAAGTTATTAATAATATTTACTAATATACTAATATTATAATATTTTAACCTTACTCTATTTACGTAATTATAAATAGACGCTTTAGCTCGAGCTATTAGCTTAGTAATTATATAATTATTTAAAAATAATTAGTACTTAATTATTTATAAGTTAAAGAAATTAATAAATATAGAGAGCTATTATAGTATAAAAAATGCGGAGCTATTAGTTATTATAAATATATTAAAAAATTAGTAATACTACTTTATTTATAATTAAGATTAGGTTATAGTATTTATAAACTATTTTAACTTATAGTTTTTAAATATTAAAAAGAGGCTAAATAAAAAATAATTATACTAATTAAACGAACTTATAGTATTTAATATTAAAATTAAGTTTAAGCTAGGTATTAAAAACCTAGTAAATAGATTATTATAAAAACTTAATTATAATAAAAATAATAATAATAATAAAATAGAGGAGCTATTATTAAAAATAAAAAAAGACTTATATAATATTAAAAATATATAGGAGCCCTTTAGAATTATAATAATAAAATATATAAAAACGAGCTATAAAAATAGCTCTTAAGTAGAAGGGATAATAAGTATTTTAAAAATAGAATTAGTAATAATATAAAGAAATAAATAAAAGAAGTTAAGAGCTTTAACTTAAAAAAGCTTTAAAAAGTATTTTAAGAAGTATAACGGGGCTATAAACCTAGGGTATTAAAGTTATAATATAATACTTAGGGAGCTACTTAAGCTTATTATTAAAATTATAAATTATAAATTACTCGTTTCATAGGATTTTAATATAATAAGAGTATTTAAAATAATATTTAATAAAAAGAGGTTATTAATAATAAATTAACTATAAACTATTTAATAAAAAGACGTTTTTATAAAGAATAAATAATAAACTAAAAAGAACTAACGGCCTTATTTAGTTAAAAAAAAGTAATAATAGAGCTAAGTATATAACTTAAGAGGGCTATTATATTATAGTAATTATATTTATATATTATTATATAAGGGGTTAAAGAGAGAAGTTATTAAAATATAATATAATATATTTATAATAAGATATTATAATATAAAATAAATAATAGTATTATTAAAACGTTATTATTATTAGGATAGAATAAGTAGGGATATAAAAAGTTATATTAATACTTATATAATATATTAGTAAATAAAGCTTTATTATTATAAATTATATAGCTTATTATACTCCCTATTTACTCCGGTTAGGCTATAATAAAAGATATTACTAAATTTTATTATAAACTTATTTATATTAACTATACTAATTAAGAGGCGCCCCTATAACGTAGTATTTATTATAATAAACCGATTTATAAAATATAGTATTTATATTATTACGAGGACGACTTTTATAGCTTAGGGATTTATAAACTTCTTATTTACGAGGATTTTTATAAAATTTAGAATACCTAAAAGAATCGTTTTTAATAAGAGCTTATTATTTATAAATAAGTTTTAGACTTATTTTTATTATTTTTTAATAATAAAGAGGTATTTTAATATTACGTTCTACTTATAAACGGATAGTTAAATAGAATAGTAAAACTAATACTTAGAGTAGTACTTTTATTATTTTTATACTTAGGACTAATTAGATTAAATATAACGTTTTTACTTAGCTAAGTTTATATATAATAATATTTAGTACTTAATAATTTATAAAGTGCTTATTAAGGCCCTATTTAGGTTTTTATTTACTTACTTTATATTAATTTTAATAGGGACTTAAAATAGTATATAGAATATTTTAGCTAAAGAGTATATAACCTAATTATAGGTTAATTAAAAAGCTCTATAACCCCTTATATAAAAAGTATATAAAATATATAAATAATAAGCTAATAAAACTAAGATAAATATATTATATAAAATAAGTAACTAAGTATTATTATTAAAAAAGAATATTAAAAAATAGTGCCCTAGTTAGAAGTTAGTTAATAAATATCTAGGCCTATTTAAAATTAAATTAATAATTAAAACGGCGGGGGTTATTTACTAACTAAATATATTAATATAATATAGAATATATAACGTATTTTATATATCCTTACTTAAGCTATATTAATATTATAAAAAAGCCCTTTAGAAGCCCTTATTTATTAAAAATATAAATAGGGAGCTATTCTATAAAATAAAAAATATTATATAATATAGAGGGCTAAAAAAGAGATAATAATACCTAATTTAGTAAAAAAGATATAATAATAATAAAGATATATAAGAGCTAATTAAGTATATTAAAAACGTAGTATTAATTAGTATATATAAAAAACGAGTTTTAATTAAATAGTACGCTTTAGTTTTTAAT